AAAAAAAAAAACACTAAAACTAACACATGGTTCCCAAACTGGGCACCGAGGTACCCCAGCGTTTCACAGTGAAAAGGGGGGCACGGTGGAGCATTTGGATATTTTGAGGGAAGCACAGCAATACTCCACCTAAGTTGAGTGCCACGTCAACTGTTAGCTGGAGTGAGTTCACAAATTTCACTACACTCCCATTAATAACTTGCTTTTTTTTTCTTTTGAGACAAGGTCTCACTCTGTCGCTCATGCTGGAGCGTGCTGCAGTGGCGTGATCTCGGCTCACTGCAACCTCCACCTCCCAAGCGCAAGTGATTCTCCTGCCTCAGCCTCCCGAGTAGCTGGGATTACTGGTGTGCACCACTATGCTCGGCTAATTTTTGCATTTTTAGTAGAGACAGGGTTTCACCACGTTGGCCAGGCTGGTCTGGAACTCCTGACCTCAAGTCATCCGCCTGCCTTGGCCTCCCAAAAAGCTGAGATTACAAACGTGAACCACTGTGCCCAGCCTCCCATCACTGACTTTCTGATTTTGCAAAGCTAGGTGTTCAGAAGCAGCTGCAATACAAAGTAAGTGCCGTGTGCAAGTCAGTATGGAACAGAAAACGAAACGGGTGATGTGCAATCCCTTTCCGAGGCCTGAGAAGGTGCGCAAAGCCCAGCAGGTGCACACACCCCATTAGCAATTGTGCTTATTTAGGAATGAAGTGAAAATGTTATTTTTAAAAAATATATATATGTATTATTTTTTCAATGGCTTCTAAGTTGTTAGGATATAAATATTTATTAAGTGGTTTGGACCTACCTACCTACTAAATGAAACTTTTGGCCTGAGGTGCTATTATAATTTTTTCTTTTTTTTAGACAAAGTCTCGTTTTGTCACCCAGGCTGGAGTGCGGTGGCACCATCTCAGTTCACTGCAACCTCTGCCTCCTGGGTTCAAGCGATTCTCCTGCCTCAGCCTCCCGAGTAGCTGGGACTACAGGTGTGTGCCACCACACCTGGCTAATTTTTGTTTTGTTTTGTTTTTAGACAGAGTCCGACTCTGTCACCCAGGCTGGAGTGCAGTGGTGTGATCTCGGCTCACTGCAACCTTCGCCTCCTGGGTTCAAGTGATTCTCCTGCCTCAGCCTCTCGAGTAGCTGGGACTACAGGCACACAACACCATGCCCAGCTGATTTTTGTATTTTTAGTAGAGACAGAGTTTCACCATGTTGGCCAGGATGGTCTCGATCTCTTGACACCTCGTGATCCGCCCGCTTCGGCCTCCCAAAGTGCTGGGATTACACGTGTGAGCCACCGTGCCTGGCCAATAATTTCTTAGTTTTGACAAATGTACCTGGATCACGTAAAATGCTAACAGTAGGCAAAGCTAGATCAAGGTATGGTGCATTTTCTGTGCTATCTTAAATCTAAAACAGTTCTAAATCTACAATTTTAGTAGACAACTAAGATGCAAAATTATTCCCCAAAAAAGTTTAAAGTGGGAACCCTACTAACGTTTTAAAAGTGAGGTCACAATTGGTTTTT